AGAAAGAAAAAACGATTTCCATTAAAATATGTAATTTAAAGCAGAGAATCTCTTTTGGGTGGGCAGGAGCGAAACTTCTGGCTAATCAGAGACTTTAAATGGTGCACCTCATCTCTGTCACTCAGCAGCTCCACTCTACAAGCATAAATGGCAAAAAAAATCCCTCAAATATGTCTCTATGCAAGCAACTGGTTCGCATATAATGACGCAATATACCAAAAACAGACGTGCTGTGAAAAGAAAAGACAAACACTCTCTCACACACACACACACACACACACACACACAGTGAGTGTGTTTGTGGGTAGCAGCAGGGTGGTTGATTCTTCCTCTGTTGGAAGCAGGAGATAACAAGCTGACCATATTTGAGACATCTGGAGAACAGGAGAGGTGGCTCACAGGGAGAGAGAAAGAGGGGTAAAGATAGAGAGAGAGAGAGGGAAGAGGACGAAGATGAAGGAAAAGATGGCCGTCTGTCCATGGTGTCAGGCAAAGGAATGATGAGGCAGACACAGAGAGAGATAGCTGGAGAGAGGATGCACCCCATGGCTAGGGTTTACAACAAGCAGAGAGAGGCAGAGGGAAGCACACACGCACAGACACACACCGAACACACACACACACACACACACACACACGCACACAACCTTTCCCTTTTCTGCAGGGTGCGCAGAAGCTGTTCAGAGCCAGCAGCCTCTGCATGGTAGCATGACCTATTTCAAAACAATACTTCCCTCATTGGTGATGGTTAAGAATCCCTCTCTCTCCCTCTCTCTCGATTTATCTCTCACATTCTTATTCCGTGTCTCACTGTCTCCCAGCGTTGTACCCATCTCTCGCTGAAACTTTCCCTTTATGTTCTCATCTCTCTCGCTCTTTGCGTTTCTTCCTCCTCTCGTTCTCTGCCCGCTGTGACTCAGAGCCGTGTTGAGTATTCAGAGGAGAGGAGTGTGGGGGGACAGTACATGAGCAATGGAGAGGAATGAAGGGGAAGGGTGTTAAGGCGGGACGAGAGCAGAAATACAAGGAGCATATTATGAGAGGAGCTTGCGGAAGGCATTGAACACATTCATGTACATGAGACGGAACGAGAATCAAATGACAGTGAGTGGGCAGGGACAGAGGATGAGTATGTGGCAGAATCTCAAGTCTGCACTTGTCAGAAAATGAATTCTAATTATGCACATACCAAGAGAGTATAGCAAGACAGCTGGGTCTCTGTGTTACTGACTTTATGGTTTGTATTCAACCTAGAAGATATGAAGGAATGTTGGGACGGTTATACATTATAGATAGATTAGTGCAGACTGTACCTTAGCAGCCTCCATAGGCTACACCTTTCTATGTTGTTCCACTCGGACTATTTTGCTGATCTCACCAGTCGATGCAGGCCTTTTACAAGTTAGAAAAACATGACCAAGGGAAAGGCAAGTAGATGCCTGATCATGTCACAAAATATGTCACATTTAAAGCTGGTCTGCCTGTTACTCACAGTTACTGGATTTCCACTCCATTCAAAACAGCCGTGAAGAACACCAGAAGCTAATGCCAGGAGTCGAGTTTTTACTAAGACTCGTGTGTTACTGCCTGCCAAATCAATCAGAGCCGACTTGGAAAGAGTAAAAGGGCCAGTCACCGGAAGCCAGTGGATGTATCTGATCGAACATATATGCAATCAATCCAGCTGTCTACACAGGCAGCGTAACAGCTCAAGTTTCACTCGTGCTATTACATGGGCAAGTCCTATTTTAGTCTGTTTTAAAAGACATTGCACTTTGGGATCCGAACGTTGTCAAAACGCTGATTACCGACACAAGACTGTGCCTGTACCACATCCTGTGTGTCACACTGATTGGGGGCCGAAGCTGGTGCTCTGCTAAACCTGCTGCTTTCACCGTGCGGGCTGTGAAGACATTGGTGCGAGACCGTGAGATAGGGTTGACATTTCTGGAAAAAAAAGCTATATAGTAAGTGGAACCCATTTCTTTCTTTTGTCAAAGGCACGGCAAAGTTCAAAACACTCCCACAGAGATGCCTTCTACCACGGGTGAGCTGAAAAGAAGCACAGCGAAGGCTGATGAAGGCCTTGAATATCCAAGCCCTCATAGAACTGGCATTTGAAATATGTCTTCGCATAGCCACGATACAAGCCAAGTTATAATAATTATAAGAGTTATTAGGCAGAGCATGATGGTCATTTGATGACAAATTCAATGGTAATGGGAGTCATGTTGTCCTCGAAACCTCTTACTAACTTCATTGTTGCCTCTTCCCCCTCGGCCCATTCCGAATCCAAACCTATGCCCTTGGTAGAGCTCTCCTCATTAAAGGCCCATCAGTGAGTCACATCATTACCTGTTTATTCCTTTCACTCGTCTCTCTCCTCCCTCTCTTCTGCACTCTCTATTAGCCAGCCAGCTGCCACACACTCCAGAGGATATTCCAATTAGAAACAACACACACACAGACACACAAATGCGCACTGGTGGATATTCCAATTAAATACAACACACCAGACAAAACACACTCAAACGCCAATACACAATAAGTCGCTGGTGGACATTCTAATTAGCTGAACAGCCCAACCAGAAAGACCGGGCACAACGGCATGTCAGATGGCATACACATACACAACGGCACGCACACACAGACATACCTTTTACAAAGCCATATAACACACACAAATGACATTTGGAGTCATGTGGACAGACTCTAAGGAAACCATGACACATCAGCACCCACGAATGGACACACATGCACACATATGCAAGGTTATGGGCTCACACAACATACAACTTAAAGGTTAAAGAAGCTTCCAGCTGTCATAGGTCACCTGTTTAAAGCCTCCGTCGGTGGAAACTAAATCAGTAGTATTTTCCGTATTAGGTTATAATTGTATTTACACTTGCCACATACTATTTGCATGAATGTGGTGAGATGAAAAAGGTATTTTTGCTTAAAAAAAATAAATAACAAAACCTCACAGATACAAAAAACCAAAACGCTGTGGCTTCTTGAAGAGAGATAAATGAGAGTTAGGAAAAGAAAAACACTATGATACATCCAGCAAGAGGATGATTTCCCTGATGTGTGACTAGATCATTCTGATGCATGAGCCTTGACTGGAAAATGTGCTAAAACACAAGGAAATGGAGCAATAAAAAAATGTCCTGACTAACACTCCAAAACTGGCGAGAGACAATAGTCGTGTCTTTTATTGATGGTGAGGAAGGGAAGACTTGAATCTCCAGTGGACACAAACGTAGTCAGTGTTTATCGAGAGGAGGACGATACAATTGGACCGACATGTGAGATTGTGTAGATAGACTCACGGGCACTCTCAAGGACACAATTAGTTTTGGAGCTGTGTTTTGATTTGATTAATTTCTTTCCAAAACAGCTTGGGCTTTGTGATTTGTATCGCTACAGTGTGTGTGTGTGTGTGTGTGTGTGTGTGTGTGTTTACTGTGAATGATACAGTGCTTATCTGTCTGTTCACCACCATGCCTGTTCACTACTGTATACGTGTGCAAAGGATTAGCACAGTGATGAATAACCTGTGACATCTGCAATCTTGAATCTCAATGAGTGTATGAAAGGTTTTATTGTTACAACTAGAATATAGACGCACTATCAAAAAATAGAATCAAGTAAACACGATGGTTTACTGTGTGTGTACTGTATTGTTATGAGTTCATGTATGTATGCTTCCCAAGCCCTCTGATTGTAAGCTGATAAGATGAAAGGACACCTCTCATAGGCTGTCACACAATCATTCAATTACCTACATATCTGATGACTGGTCCCTAGTGATAGCTACAGTGCTTGTGAGTGACACCTCTTCACAGGTTATGGTCTTAATGTGAACATGAGCAATGAGCCGTTAAAGCAATAAGCGTTTTTTAAACTCCGCCAGTGAAATCATGCGATCGCATGCGTGTCCGTGCGTGTCCGTGCGTGTCCGTGCGTGTCCGTGCGTGTCCGTGTGTGTGTCCTTGAGTGAGTGTACACCTCTATATGTCTGTCCATGGCTAATCTCACATTGTGTTGCAGCAAACTGCATAATGTGTTCGGTGGCCGGTTATGGCTACAAGGACCTCTCGTCGTTGTGGTGACTTAACACTTTATTAAAACAATATACATGCAGATAATGTACTGTGCATCCATAATGAAACCATCATTCATAAGGCAGAACCTGAACCTTGTAAAGGCTCCCCCCCCCCCCCCACACACACAGGCACACACTTTCACCTTATAAAAGTTACATCTCACTCACATCCACCTCACAGCCATCAATAATTGACTAAAGGTAGGAGGAATAAGCTCAGTACAGTACAAGCCTCTGAAAGCCTGGACCAAGGCATGGATCAAGTCAATCAGCCAGACAGAAAATCCTCTTGTACTCGCTGGGGATTGTCAGGAGATTTTGGACTCTAAGCCATTAGTATAGCTACAATTGGAAAAACGTATCTTTCAGTGCCAAGACACGGAGATTTGATCTCCAAAAAAAGTTTTCTGGTGGAGAGAGAGAGCAGACGTTTTGCCAGAGCAATAGATGCAAATGCATGACTCCAAAAGTGATTCCAAAACGTAATAATACTGCAAAATGGGCTCAGGAGAGTTCCGTCATGCTCACAGGAAGCCCATGAACCACACCGTCACAACCCTGCCTGTCAGTGAATTGTCATCTTGTGAAAGATATGTCACACAAATGTACATTAGTATCACACAGAAATCTTCTACAGCCATTGCCCCCTTCCCTATTAAGTAAAATCCTGCACAACCACACATGCACAGAATTCCCCTTTGTAGTCATCTTGCCTGTAGATTGTGGTGTCTCAGAGAAAATTGCTTCAAATCCCAAACAGGTCATTTACAGGGTAATCCAACAGATAGACGCGCAGACTAGTAGACAAACACACATACACACATCATGGTTTCATCCTCTTTGCAGACTAAAGATGATGGGGATGACATACAGACATCTGCAATATACTCACACTCTCTGTAGACTGTAGTTCATAAAGGAAATGTAAAAAGACAGCAGTTAAGGAATGCAGGTTAGGTAGTGTATTTAGCAGCATTGACACAAAGAGAAACGACAAAAAAGCATTCACACACTTACTCTCTCTGCGGACTGTGACGTGCCAAAGAAGATGGGTATGAAGGCCAGCCAGATGATGCAGGTGGTGTACATGGTGAATCCGATGGGCTTGGCCTCGTTGAAGGTTTCGGGCACACCTCGCGTCTTGATGGCGTAAACTGTGCACGTCACCATCAGCAGGATGGAGTAACCCAGGGAGCAGATGAGGGACAGGTCCGAGATGTCACACTTGAGGACGCCGCGCGCCGACGTGGGATCCTGGGTCCGCTGCTCGCCGAAGTCCACGACCGTGTGGGGAGGGTCCACCGCGAACCAGACGAAGACCCCCAGCAGCTGAATTGAGATGAGCGAGAAGGTGATGGCGAGCTGGGAGGCGGGTGAGATGAACCTGGGAAGGAGACGATTGCTGATATGAGTTCGAGGTTTAATTTAGAGGTGCGCAAACCCATGCACTCAAGGAAATACCTGCACTTGAAAATGTGTTACTGCCGCATTAAAAGGATTAGATTCTCGTGCATAATGTAATTTTCTATAAGATTCGATTTTTCTTTGGGCAATAAAGTGTTTTACAAATACACTTTTAAACTAAAAAAATCTCATCATTCTGAAAAAAAGGCTGTTTTCATATTATCTAAAAGGTCGAGACCTGCCAGCAGCAATATATATTATATTCCTATACATGAAGCCATACAAGCATCCACAAACATCCACACTAGAATAAATGTTGGTTGGAGATCAGGGAAAAGGTGATGATGACATTTTAGGCAACAGGGAAGAACGTGGTTAGTGAGGAGAGGCCTTACATGTAGCACTGGATAGAAGGAAAGTGATGACCATACAGAATGCCAGAGAGAAAGAAATGGGGGGAAATAATACCCAACAACAAAACCTATACTGCCACTCTCCACTGTAGTGAAGAAACAACCAGCTCCTTCAAGCTCCCAGGCTCAAAGGATGCGTAGTGCCCGACTACCTGGAGCAACAACACACACTGAAACCTGAAAAGATCCTCAAAAACCCTCCATCATCCTGCATCTCATAGTGTCCTTACCTCAATTGTGTTTCCATTGTTGTTCATTGCATTTAGTTTAAATTTGCTTATTTTCTAGTCTTTCCTGGAATTTTGAAATCCTAATTATGAATAAAAAAAAAAAATGCACGAGTCATAGGACAATAACACCAACTCTTACAAATGGATGGTGCTGAAGGAAAGACAGATGAACATCTGGGTAGCACGGACATGAACCCGGGCACTATTAAATACCACATTAACATTTTAGTCACTTAGTTGATGCTCTCTCCGAGAGTCACTCATACGGAGTGCAAACAGTACAATAGGTGAGTGTGAGTTCATGACTCTCATTAATAATGGATGAGGAATAAATGATGAATAATGATTGCAGAAGCAGCTCAGTAAGGAAGAAGTGGGGGTTAGGTCTTCATGTGATAACACACACACACACACACACACACACACACACACACACACACATCTCTGAGTGCAAAGAAAGAACACACTTACAGTGACCTTCAGTGCTACTACACTCATGGAAATCTACCTGTGCTGGACACCCACATGCAGGGCAAACACAGTGTGTGTGCGTGTGTGTGTCATGACAGGCGTGCGTATTCTTCACCTGGGTGCTGTCACAGACGTCTTCCCTTGTTCAAAGATGCGGTGTATCCTGTTGGTCTTGGTGAGCAGCGCGGCGTAGCTGAAGCACATCCCCAAGCCCAAGAAAATCCTCCGGAACGAACACACTCCCACGTCGGGCGCCGCGATCATCAGGAAAGTTATGGCGTAGCACAGGAAGATCCCCGTGAGCAGCACGTAGCTCATCTCCCGTCCCGACGCCCGCACGATGGGAGTGTCATTGTGCCGGACAAACGTGACGATGACGAAGGAGGTGGCGATGATCCCCAGCATGGAGATGAAGACGGGGACGACGGCCCAGGGGGAGTGCCACTCCAGCTTGATGATTGGGATGGGAACACAGCCAGTGCGGTTGGCATCAGGCCGCATCTCATATGGACACAGCTCACAGGTGAACTCTGATGCCTGGGGAGGGACAGTTATAATAGTGTAAAGTAAAGACTGGTTTGTGTCTGGTAAATCTGTCTACAGCTCCCACAGATATACACTTAATTCCCAATGTTTTCTTCCAAACTCGACAGACAATATGGTAAATCTGTAAATGCAGTTGCTCCCAAATGTATGCAAATACACTGTGAATCACTAACAGTTGATTACTTTACTAATCAGTTGAGGCTGAGCTATTGTGTGTCATCTGACTCGCACATGATATACATTTTTGAACACTTGTTCGCTATTTTCCAATCCACTGAGATCCCAAATCTACTGTAAATGTGTTGACGGTTTATTGATGTTACAGCGAACGCATGTATCTGAAAGATGAGTACGTACTTATGTACTTCCATTTGCTATAATAGCATCTGTGGGGTTCTTCCTGCTTATATAAATCAAAAATGGGCCATCTAAGTGGCTTTCTTTTGATTGCTTGGGACAGAACTCTACCGTAGAGTAAGAGTAAGCAGGCAGCAGCTGTCAAGAGAGCAGATGCATGCGGAGACTAACGTGCATTTTGTCAAAGTGCTGTCATTGCAAACAAATCTCAATAGTTGATTCCAACAAATGCAACCAGTTGTGGCTTTAGAAGCTCTGCCAAGGTTAGAGCATCTGGTAAAATTCTCCATTTCAACAGACAGATCAAGTGTACCGAAGTGAACCGGTTAGGCTAAGAGCATTTTGGAGGCTTTTAAAACACAACAATCAAGGCCATTTATCAGCCAGAGAAATCTCTTTTCTTGTTGTTATTTTTAAAGTAACAAGATGAATAGAAAGTGAAGCGCTTACATTGATGCAAAAAGTCAATAACTCTTTTTTTTTTTCCAGATATTTCTACAAAAACACTTTGCAATTGATCACCAGAATGCATTACCAGGATGGATCACGCTGGACTGTGACTTGTTTGGTTTTATATTTTGAAGTAGACAATTTCTAACAGTACATGCTTTGTAAATATTTACTAAATCCTCAGTGATTGAGTGACAAAAGTGAATTATGTTTTAGGTGTATTTTTCTGCCTGCAACCTGTGAAGCGTGTAATGCAAGTATTCAGACAGCATACCGTTTTTAATGGAAAGTCTCATGAAAAAAAAAAAATAGACCCACAAATGGTTCATCCTTATACTCAGACACCACCTGCAATGTCATGCCGAGCCTTACTGTGCTACGAGACTACACACAAACAAAGTGGCTAAAATCCTGCGCCATGGTACTTTTAGCATTATGTTCTTGACCAACTGAGCTACTTGCGACACTGCAGAATGTTGCTGTTAATGGAAGCTTTTTTGTATTCTTTCTTTTTAAGCTTGTGCCAAATTCACGATGAATACAGCAGGAAACAACAAAACAGAGACAAGCCTTGAAGTTCTACATCACAGGTGAATGGTATAATTCCAACAAAGCACAACAGCAACAGGTGGCCTGTACGTCTCCACACATCTACCTGAAAGTGATATCCCTCACAGCGCTCACAGTGCCAGCAACACGGCACGCCTTTGACCACTTTCTTCCTTTCGCCTGCGCGGCACGGGATGCTGCACACAGAGGGCGGCAGAGATGGGTCGCCCGTCTTCCAACGCATGGCCTCGACCTGGAGAAGGAGAGGTGAGGAGACAGAGCGACAATAAGACAAAGGTGTGAGATCTGTCCCATATGACAAATGAAGATTTTGTTGTGTTTTTGTCTGAAGTGCATGTGGCATTACAAAACTTCCCTTCACCTTCTTGTGGGATATTATGCGACACAAAGATTAGCTGCCATCTGCTGCAGCTGACATTACTTTGTGTTCACAGTCCTGCAACACTCTGTACCTGCAGAAAGTGTGGATTGAGGGCAACTCGGAGAGCAATTAGCACAAGAAGATCCTCTGATCGTTTTCCTGAGCGCTGCTGGGCACAAAACTAACACCAGCTAGTCTGGAAGCCAGCAATCAGACCATAATCAGATCTGGCACAAATAGGCCATCTGTATTTCCTTCTGTTTGTGTGTGTGTGTGTGTGTGTGTGTGTGTGGGTGGGTGTGCGCACATATTCCAACATGTGTGCACTTTGTTTGTTTGTGCTTGTGTCATGCTGCCATTATTGCGATTCCCTGAGCTTTCCGTATGTCTGCTATGTGTGAGTTTCAATTTGTCGTTATTATGTGTGAGTTCTCGTAATTATACCCGGTCCCTGAGCTTCCATCCGTTGCCGAGGGTGCTGAGTAAAATGGAGCGTTACTGTTTTAAACAGGCACATAATGTACCAGTCCAACAAAACTAGTTAGGAGGACAAAACTCATCAGGGACAGAGAAAATGGACTCGATTTGATCACTGACACACATATAGAAACATACACACACTTGCAGCATTTAAGCAAAGATATTGGGTTACAGGCTGTTCAGTACTGCTTAAAATGTCCGTCAGGAGAAATACTCTCATGTAGATTTTTGAGTGTGTGTGTAGAAGTGTAAATTGTTTAAAACTTTTCTTCATTCAAGGCGTTAACAGCTCTTGCAGAATTATTACATACAGACACCTAATTTTGCAACAATAAGTGTAAAACATGCACCACACAACAACAAAAAAACAGAGACCCAGCTGTGAACCTCCCTTTCCATGTGTTACCTAAATTACACGATGATAGCTGTGACGGGATTCTGCTCTATCTGTAAACATCACCTCACAGTAACTGTGTGTAAATGTCCAAGTACCGTATGTCCAAAAGAACATTTACCATGGAACTAACAGTTTGTTGATCGTGAAAACTTTCACCATGCTGCCATCGCCACATCTGCCACTGTGCCTTCAAACCCGACTGGATTGTGAAACAAATCAAATGCATCTGTTAATTTGTCAACTGTCAAAGTGCCCATTCATGTGTGCCTTAACTATGAGCTCTCTCTCTCTCTCTCTCTCTCTCTCTCTCTCTCTCTCTCTCTCTCTGGCAGAAAGCACTTTGTGTCTATTAGTCTTCTCATCTGTCATCTGGCCTTTCTAATGAAGTCCTGGGTGGATTTAGAACACCAAGCACACCGAGGTGCTCAAGGAGTTTGTGTGCGTGTGTGCGGGCATGTGTGTGTGTGTGAGAGAGAGACAGGCTAAGACAATGGGATTCCAGTTTTTTTGTGAAATGATTATGTGTTTTTGCATGGATGTATGTGATGCTCAGGTGTGTGTGTGTCTGTGTATGTGACACCCACAACATGCAGCACTCTGACAGCATTCACACTTTCTTGTAAAAATGCTAAATTCCTGCTAAGTTTTGCGTCTCAACGAAAGCAACAACTCAAACAAATCCAGCAAAGTGGCATTGGATGTTGAAATCATGGCAGCTGCTTGAAGTGATGTTGAACTTTCATCCTGCCAAGGCATGCGGTCTATAATGGCTCGAAGGCTTAAATTAACCACTCAAATCAAAATACATTTTGGATTACTCTAAAGGCATTTTCTTTCCTGTATGACACAAAAGTCAGCTCCTAGAACAATTGCAGATAGAAAAGAACACATGCACAATAATATATGGGCTGTTTTGCACAGTGAAAAAGTGAATAATCTCACTTTGAGGCGTAGTTTATTGGTCCAGGAGCCAATGACTCTGTACTCTGCAGTAGACCGGTTGGTGATCTGGTACTGGAAGATATCGTATCTTCCTGGGGCATCTCCGTTCTCATTAAAAACCACTGGTGTACCGGCACTTCCTGGATCAAACACAGAAGATGTTGGAGAGAGAGGGGACATTAGTTGTTGAATGTGATACAGTTACATTTTGATGTGTGCTCCAATGGTTCCATTCTTAATTGATCCCCACAAGAATGAGCACAACTCCTGAAGAAGGAGGATGAAGGTAAGGCGATGGGGGGGGGGGGGGGGGGGGGTTGTGGTGGGGGGGGGGGGGGGGGATCTTTGATCAAATATGGGAATATGTATCATCTTAGTGCTTAAAGGAAATAAAGAAAAAAACAAGAAACATTTACACATTGTTCATCAGTGGTTCTCTTTTTCCTGAAGGGACCCCTTTTCTATCATTCTATCATGAAAAGCCCTGACCAAGTGACATTTTATGGATGTTTCATATTATATTTAACAACTGTATGGATCAACTGATAAACTGTATAATTAACCCAAACAGTACAAAGTTAGGGTATTTTTCTGCCTGATGCGTAGGCCTCCCGACCCCCTGAGAAGCTTTGGCGACCACTAGTGGGGGTTTGGACCCCCATGTTGAGAACCAGTGAATTACACTATCAATATATGTTTGCAAATATCACTTCTACTTACTATATAACAATATATATATGAAATAACACATTATGCTCCAAACAAAAAGGCATAAATACATAAACTACATACAAGGGGAACATATAAATTGAATGAAGTAATATTTCCTCAGGTGATGTGTTAATGAGCACAGGTGAAAGAAGAAGAGTCACCGGTCTTTAATCTAGGATGTGTTGTATTTTACCTGCAAGTGTGTGTGTGTGTGTGTTGTAGAGAGTGTGATTGAATAATTCACACGCATGGATACGTTTACGTGTCCTCTCAGGTTTCGTTTTCTCACTATCAATAAGACTGAACACAAACCTTTTATCCGTCTCCCTCTCTCGCTTACTCACTTTGTGTCTTTTATGTAGCAATACAATCAAATCAGATCGCTGAATCTGGCAGAGCATAAAGGAAATCCAATTACAGTGAGGATGTGGAAAAAAGCACTGCATTATGGAAATTCCACCTGCATAATATAAGTCATCGATACAGTGCGACGATGCTGAGGATATATAAATACAGTTCCCCCGGTTTGAGGCAAAGCGCGGGAGAAACGGTGTGGAGAGGAATATTGCAAATCGACTAAGAGAATGAAAACAGAGACTGACAAAGGAGAACGTCAGACACAGAGAGTAAAGCACAGACAGCGAGGGGAAAGAAGACAAAGGAAAAGAGTTTGAGATAAAAAAAATAAATTAAAAAAAGAGACAAGAAGTGGAGAAACAAAGGTGAAAAGAGCAGGGAGAAACTCAGTCAGATCAGTAAAGACTCTCTCACTGTCATCATAAGTAATGAGGGATACATATAATGAGAAGACAGAATGAGCAATAATGAGGTTAATGGAGAGAGAGAGTGAAACAGATGAATGGAGGAAGATTAAATAGAGAAACAAAAGTCGAGGTCTCGATCTCTTATTGCTACCACAAATTATGCATGAGGATCCTTTCTGCGAGAAGTGTGACATGTCCAACTGTAACTATTACCCCTTCCACTTTAATATCCCCGCTCACACACACACACACACACACACACACACAGACTCACTAAACTAATGGATACTGTCCTTCTGGCAACTCTCTGTGCACCACAGTATAGGAACGGCACAATTAGTTTAACTTCTTTATATAACCCGGATAGCATTGATTTGAATACGGCATATAGCCAGTGCTACAAATGCAATAGTGCCGACTGAAATTTGGTCATCATCCCGATATGAAAATTAACAATTAAAACATTGCAAAAGGCTACCTGACTACCAATTTAGGGCTGGTTTCTGCAACCTGTTATTAAACGGGCCCTGGAGCTATAGACCGAATGGGGAACAGAAGTAATGTGCAGCGGTGAAGTGTGCTGTTGACAAGGTTGGAGTAATAAAGTTGTTTGTGTTATTGGTGCAGACTACAGAGCCTCTGTGGTATTATTTTATTTTCTCATTAAGTATAGGCGCTGCGTAACCCTCCCCTACACAAAGCTGTCTGTATGTAGTCTTACTGTTTGGCTTAGTCGGCCACGTGTCTTAAAATGACTTTAAACTTAGCTGCTCTACCTGCTGACAGTGAATCAAATCAGCAGAGGGAGTAGGACAGAGGACACGAGGAGACAACCACGCTGACACAGGAAATGTAAAAGCTAATATGCACCCATAATAATCACAAAGTCATATTTTCAGCGAAATATTGAACAATGTTGTCGCACATTGGGGAATTTCCTCATATTGTGGAGGCCTAAAATACAACATACCACCAAACACTGTAGAAACCAATCACACAACGACACCATTGTGACCACCTAGCAACAGAGTGACATGCTACAACCTGCCGCAACACCAACAAAATATCCAACAATGCCCCAGTAGCCAAATAAAAAACAACATTTCAACACATTACCGCCCTTGTGCTCTCGATCCTTTACAAGCCGACAAGCAACTTCATTTCTTTGCATGCATTCCCCACTCGCTCTCACCATCCCTTCCCTCCATCTCAATTCATCTTCCTCTCTCTCCCTCTTGTTCTCCAGATCTTCATGTCTTTTTAATCTTCTCTCCTTTTCTGGGAAATGAGCAGGCATGAAACACAAATGGGTTTTTCTGTTTACCTCATCCAAATGAGAGGGTGAGGGTTAGTCACAGGACATAGTCGTGCCCAACAGAGTGAAAACTACAGCCACCACATTTTCTTTCAATCCTCTTTCTCATATTCTCCTCTATTGTCATTCACTGCGGTGTCCTTTTTTTATGATCATCTCTTTACTCCTCTCTTATCTTTGTTCCTACTTTCTATGCCTACATCTACCAACTCTCGCTTTTTATCTGCTCCCACACTTTTGTCCTTTCCTGTCTTCCTATTTCTTCTGTTTACTAATTAATCAATTCCTTGAATGACACCCTTCTTCCCTTGTTTTCAATCCATCTTAATCTCTTTTGGTCTCCCCCCCTCAATTTCCCTCCATTCTGCCTTCCTTGTACTAATGTATAGTATAAAATGAAAGGAAGCAATAAGTGGGAAAACCAACATAAACAGTAACAAAAACAAGGAGAGACAATTAAGTTATTGTAGAAGTCATCAGAGATTATTCAGGGCTCACCAACAAGGGCCTGCCCTGTTTTATTTGAGCTTACTTGTTTGGTCCGTAAAAAAAACACAAAAAGGTTTATCTCTCACCCAGTGATGAACATGTCATATTTTCCTCATCAGTCTCCTATTGGCTGACTATCTTCTAGTTTTTCCTTTGCCCCAATCATGCCTCATTAAAGCGAGTTAGGGACGCAGCAACTAAATGTTTGGCGCAGAGACATGCTGGCAGGTACTTTAAAAACAGACTATTTGCTCTGAAAGCAGTGGTTACCTTGAGTAGAAAATGATAATTCAATCTCATGGTGTTTGGTACCATTTGTTCATAATTTCTGAGAATGGTGGATAAAGACGGCGCAGTTTTTAAAAGCAACAGCAATTACTGCAAAACACACATAGCATGACAGGAGCTGGCAGCATCAGCCAATATTTTTGGGAAAACAGGTAGCTGACAACCCCTCATCAGTTCTGATTAATGCTTTGGTTTAAGAGATACATGGACAGGCTTACTGGCCTAAAACAATTAGGTGGGGGGGGGGGGGGTTGTTGTGTTTACTCACACCTATTTCTAGAAAAAGGATATTGTTGGTTGAGCATTTGTGCAACAGGGGCACGTTTTACTGAGTCGCTACAATGCAGCTCAAACTAATGACCATAAAATACCCATGCACTCTTTTATTGTTTCACATGTCAGTCGAAAATGTCATAATTTTATCCTTTTAGACATCTGTGTGAAATTGTCATAATCATTCTCGAGTCATAGTGACGACCGAATTCTAAATTAGTTCATCACTGAGGTCAAGTGGATGTTTGTGCCAGGTTGGAGAAATTCCCTCTAAGCTTCCGTGCAATATCGTGTTCACGAGAACGGGATGGACGGACGGAGAACCCGAAAACGTAACGTCTGCGGCCACGGCTCTCACCAGCTTTGGGGGCATAAAAATATAACTGTAAAACCTGTGTTGAACGTGTTAATGTACTCTGGCTGCACAGCTTTATCGGCGTGGGAGCAGTTACATACAAACACGTAGCTTTTATCAACCTCTCGCTTTAGTTGCCATGACCCTGGCAACACATTCTTGTAGTCATAGCTCACATGTTGTTCAAAGCAAGATGCTGCACTCAAGGAAAAAAATGTCTCTGACATAACCTGAAAGTGAAACACATTTTTGTTCCCACACAAACAACCACACTAGAGTCACATAATGTGTAACAGGACACGTGTTTCTCCGTGTCGACACTGACGTTATTTGCATATCACTAAATGAGCATTTTTGGCAGGCATCGTTAAATAGATCATGTTGCTCTGCGTGCATTGTGGTAATTCTTTTTCAACTTTTCTTATAACTTTTATGCACATAGGGTTCGATTTTGAAGAAACATTTTCCTTGTCCAACATTTTGCCAGAACCAATTCAAACTAACAATTATATATTATTCAATACAGTCTTTTGTAAATTACCTTTAACAGAACACACATGTTTTTACTGTAACTACTGATTACATAGTCAGTACTCAACCTTAAAATACCTGTTCTGTGAGGACAGAGTCAATTATTCTGAAGCTAATTTATCATTGTTATTCATTTTGCATAACCAAAAGCAAGCTGACAAGTTGCTAAATCACACAGGAAGTGCTATAAAAAGGCCAGGGGGCAGATGCATGTTAACACAATGAATTGTCTCACTCCCTCTGAGGGAAATAACAGTGAAATCCATGAGTTTCACTTCTAATTCGGGGGAGGTTGGGTACTCGGATTAGACAGCTTGAGCGTGGTGAGAATGGCTGACACTTCCAGTTGAAGGAGAGTGAGCATGTGAGTTTGGAAGTGCAAGCGTATGTTTTCCTAGACTTAGTTCAACTCGG